TTCAATGACTTGTCATGACTCATGAGTATTAGTACTACAGTAATTTTACACTTTTTGAGAGTTATGTTGACATATGCTAACCCAAGTTAATGTTATTGATGGAATGTGTGTATTGTCTCACATCTCACCGAACTGTGGTAATGTATTAGAAATTATTCGTATTGCGTTCATGTTAACAACCGCACCTGCTATTGCTATCACAAGTGGATTGCTCTTTAAAATTAGAATTGTAAACTTTCGGAGCAATATGGCATATATGTACGAATCTTTTGATGGTTCCCACATTTCGGTGAGATCCATAATACTGACTACTGTGCATGTATATTGTAATTTTAGTTATAGTATTGTGTTTATAATACAGAAATTGGAACATTTATCTCAACTTATATTGCAATAATTCATTCCAATCTTGGTCTGTTGGAGAAATTGTAATAATTTAATCAAGACCAAATAAACCCCAATATTTTTGCCTGATTCATTATATACATGTAGAATACGTCTACATGAAAGAGTGCAACCAAATCCACATGACTTTAAATGCTATATAAAACGGCACCACCAAAAAGCTATATCAGCTCGATCGGTTCTAAAGCACCTCTTCATTGGGGCTGAGACTGCTCTCTGAAAGGGCCAGAACAGCTCCGGTTAACAAAGTAGGGGTTACATTGGCTTTTCTTTTGGATCTATAATGGCTCTGAAATTGGACCAAATTGACCCTTTGGGTGCTACAAACTACACCATGAAAAAAGCTATATTAGCTCCTTCGGCTCTAAAGCAGCTCTTCTTTGGGGCTGAAACTGTGCTCTTCTGAGAGGGCCAAAATAGCTCTGGTTAAAAAAGTAGGGGTTAAATTGGCCTTTCTTGTGGTCTATAATGGCTCAGAAATAGAACCATATTGGCCCTTTGGGTGCTAAAAAACTACACCATTAGAAAAGCTATATCGGCTCTGTCGGTTCTAAAGCAGCTCTTCATTGGGGCTGAAACTACTCTGTAACTCAGTAGCCAAAACAGCTCCGGTTAGCGAGCCAAATCAACGCTTTTGGGGGTTCATTATGACCACAAATGGGAGCCAAATTAACTCCTCGAAATGCCAAAATAGCCCCCTAATTTTCTGAATTGGCCCCTATTGAAAGTTGAAATAGCCCCTGCTTTTGCCAAAACAGCTCCTACTAAAAGCTGAAACAGCCCTTACACTGGAAGGGCCAAATCACCCCTTAGGGGCCGCATTGTTATAGGTGCCATTTTGACCCCAAAAAAGATCTATTTTGCGGTCACCGTTTTGGCCCCATTTTTGGGGTCGTTTCAGCCCTTTTTAATTTACAGTGTATATATATATATATATATATATATATATATATATATATATATATATATATATATATATATATATATATATATATATATATATATATATATATATATGCAGTCTCTCAGACAATGTGCAGTTTCTGGCTACAGCCATAAAGTGGCACGAGTCCCATGTTTCAATCCATCGTCAAGGAACATCATGTAATATATAAATGAGATAATCAACTTGTGTTGTCAACATGAAGTACACCCTAGCAACGTAATTTAATCTTTATTTCTACCAACTTATCAAATTAAACATTCTCACGATTTAAGAACTGAAAAAAGTAGCAACCGCTTTAGGATAATATGATGTATAACAATACTAAAAGCCCATTTTTGCAATTGGTTAAAAGGTCAACATAATATATTCATAAAATAATAGCACATTAGTTGTTTATGTCTGACATGTTTGTCCTCTTGAAATATAAAATCTATTCAACGTTTCATCAGACCGAAATGACTACCATAATATTGCACATTCGATAGAAAACATTATAACCGAGGATGATTTCTCGAGTAATTATGAATCTATATACACAAAACGTACTATTAATGTATAGCAGAATTATCTATACAACACAAATTTGAAGAATTATATGCTTGATCATGCAGTTATAAAAAAAAACACCTGCGTGGCATGATTAACCAATAATATAACAGATATTTAACAACCTGTTTGCATTGAAAAAGCATTTCTTGGTAAAATATCAGTATAAGCTTTCATCTTTAGCTCAGTACAAACAGAACTATATGAAACGAAAATGGTTTAATACAAAAGCACAAAACAGTATAGGAAACGAAAGTGCGGGTTCAGTACCAAAGCAGAAAGTAATATGGCTACTGCGCCAGATTCTGCTCCTGTGAAGCAATTGGAGATGATGTTAGAGTGTTCAATATGTACTGAAACACTAACTCAACCACGGACATTGTCATGCTTCCATTCGTTTTGTAGTCACTGTTTAGAGAACTTTGTTGCGACTCACCGCAAGAAAGCAGTCAAAGAAAAAGCCAAAGTACCAGAGGTCTTTGAATGTCCAGAATGCCGAACCGAGTTTCACGTCAAAGAAGGAGAAAGCGTGGAGAAAATTTCATCAAACCATTTTATCAACAACATGCTGGAATTCCTCACTCTACAGCAACAAGCTCAATGGATTAAATGCCAGTCATGTAAAGCTAAAGATTCTGGCACCAGTAGATGCATATCATGTGAGAATTACCTGTGTGGAAAATGTCTAGAAACCCACAACAAATACTGGCGTGTGTTTGAAGTGCATGTCCTGTTGACGTTGGAAGAATTGGCAAAGCCAGAAAACCGAGCGAAAGCAGGAAGCAAACCTCGTTGTGAGAAACACGATAAAGTTCTCAAGTTTTACTGCGAAACTTGCAAAGTCCTTGTTTGTCGATACTGCGCTGACGTGAATCACATACGCCCTGAACATATGTTGTTCCCTTTGGCAGACGCTGTTGTACAGCACAAGGAAGCGTTGAAGACATCGTCCGCCATCTTCGAGCAACAAAAGAACGAAGCGGTTCAAAGCAATCTGAAGATAGGACACGGTATGGTAACCCTGGAGAACAACAAAGCGAAAGCCAAAGACGCCATCATGCAGCAACAACAGGAAATCCGGAATGCATTTACCAAGAAACTCGAGGAGGAAACAGCAACCATGCTTAGCCAGGTTGACATGAAATACAACGAAGCTAGCGCGCCCCTGGTGAAACAACAAGCCGACGTGAAAGATTACTTGGCAAAAACAAAAAGCTTGCTGAATTTTACCAAGAATATCATTTCCAATGGAAGCGATGAGGAAATCCTTTCGCTCGAACATCAGGTTGAAGAAAAAGCTGGGAGTATTGAGAAAGAACGACCAGAATCAATGGAGCCAGTTCACAACAGCGGCATTGAATATCGAGCAAAAGCAAGCAATGATGTCCTCGAGAATGTAAAGTGGAATGATTTAGGAAAAATTGGTATGTGTATTTCACACTGCTTATATTTAGGTAAACACTTTATGTGACCCCTTATTATAGTGTATCACAATTACTAATTGGAGCTCATTTTTCTCTATAAAAGTAATGTCCATATGAGGCGGGGGAGGAGAGGTGGCAACGTCTTGACGGGGGTCACACTCGGGTTTAGAAGTTAGAGGCGGAGTTGGGGTGCGGGTCAGGGATTAGCCTTGATACGTTATAATAGGGGTCGCACGAAGTATATACCTATAATTACAAGAGCAGCCGCTTTTATTTTGAGTCAGTTTATTAAACTCTACATCGATGTTACGTATAATTTCTGCCGCCATTTATTCTAGCGCCGTTGACTTTTGATCTTCAGAAAATCTGTAGTATACGAAAATAATACTCAATGATACTTCACCCAGAATATTTAGAAATAATCGCTGTAACCCTTAAAGCCCATCGACTTTACACACTGGAGTTTTCTCCTTCATTTCATTTCATTTTGTTTGAAATCACGGAAATTTGAATTGTGTAGTATTTCTTGACGTTCGAAAAGCGTTTGACTCAATAAATCATCAGTGAAATACTACTACAAAAAATGCATGACAATTTTGGCATAACTGGCACTGAACTGGAATGGTTTAAATCTTACCTAACCAACAGGGAGCAACAATGTACGATTAATGGCCAGATTTCATCACCTAAGAAAACAGTTTGTGGAATCCCGCAGGGTTCGATCTTGGGGCCGTTGCTGTTTCTGCTATATATAAACGATAGGTCTAAATCTTTAAAATTTTGCACTCCTTCTATGTATGCAGATGACACGGAAATTTATGCATCTGCTAAAAATGGTGACGAGCTGGTCACCAATATAAACTCTGATCTTGAAAATGTCCATAAATGGATGTTACAAAATAAGCTTCAAATTCATCCAACAAAGACAAAACATATATGTATATTGGATCGTCTTTTAATATTAAAAACAAAATTGCTCAGAACCCAATTTTAATTAATAACGTACCAGTCCCCAGGACGGAAAACTACACATGCCTGGGTGTTGACCTGGATGAAAGGTTTACTTGGGGAAAATATATAGATAATATTTGCGCGAAAGGTGGGGCTGGAATTGGAATTATGAGAAGAATGAGGCCTTTTGTACCAGTAGAAACACTCAAGCTAATATATAATGCCCAGGTGCAACCGTACTTTGATTATTGTAGCCTTCTTTGGGACAATTGTGGAAGTGGTCTTAGGGAAAAGCTTCAAAGATTGCAGAATCGCGCTGCGAGAGTTAGAACGGGGTCTACTTTTGATATTCGATCTGTTGATGTGCTGAATATGTTAGCTTGGGAATCCTTAGACCAGAGACGCGCAACTATACAAAATCTATTTACATGTATAAAATAATTAATGACCATGCCGCCCCAAATTTAAAACAACTATTTCGACGATGCAGTGAAGGCGATTCCCCTTATGATCTTAGGAATCGTGCGACTGATCTAGTATTACCAAAACCAAAGAAAGAATTTCTTAAAAGAAGTTTTAAATACAATGGAGCTATCCATTGGAATAAACTGTCTATTGAAGCAAAAGGGCTGATTCAGTTTATTCATTCAAGAAAATTATAAAATCTACGGCGAGGTGAAGCTGACCTGTCCTCAATAATATTTATTTGTTTCGTTTATATATTTTTGCCTACCTGTTAGTCTTTGTATGCTTCATGTAACTTTAATTTGTACATATATTTGTGTAATTAGTTAGTTAACACGCCCCTTATGAAAAACAGCTGATGTTGATGAAGCTAGCGTGTCAAAATAAAGTATTATGTACTATTGTTCCCAGTCAACTGCGAAACGACCGTTTTTTTAGGCGCTTTGCCAGTGACGGTTTTGTCAATTACAAAGGAGATATTTGTGTACCACGCGATCACAATTGGCAATTGATAAAACTAGAATAGTGAAGCGAATAGTGCGAATAGTGCGAATAGTCCGCGAATAGTCGACGAATAGTGCGAATAGTCCGCGAATAGTCGACGAATAGTGCGAATAGTCCGCGAATAGGCGACGAATAGTACGAATAGTCCACGAATAGGCGACGAATAGTACGAATAGTGCAATAGAGACTTTGCAAGGCTTTGCAGCAATGCTATAGAACTAAATTTACCGGGGGGGGGGCTCTGTTGACAAACATGAAATCGTGAAAACATTCGTCGACGTACGTCAATGACGTCATACGTCTAGTGATTGTCATCAGTGGCGCCGTGGCCGGGGAGGGGGGCAGGGGGGGGCATGGCCCTCCCCTATTGTTGACACCCGTCGTAAAATTGCCAATGCTGCCGGAAATTGTCGGAAAATTGTCAAGGCTGTCGGAAATTGTCAAACGGGGGGGTGAAGATTTAAAATGTTGTCGTCCGGAAAGCTTTTTGGTTTGTCGGAAAAATTTTTCGGTGTCATTCTACTTCCTGTTAAATATTTGTTAAAACTCAGTGGTCCCGTAATTTTTACCGATTACGTATGACGTCATTGACATCAACGAATGTTTTCACGATTTCATGTTTGTCAATAGAGCCCCCCCCCTCCCCTCCCCGCTTCGGTAAATTTAGTTCTACAGCACGGTGGAAAGCCTTGCAAATTCTCTATTGCACTATTCGTCGACTATTCGTACTATTCGTCGACTATTCGCGGACTATTCGCACTATTCGTCGACTATTCGCGGATTATTCGCACTATTCGTCGACTATTCGCGGATTATTCGTACTATTCGTCGACTATTCGCGGACTATTCGCACTATTCGTCGACTATTCGCGGACTATTCGCACTATTC